GAAGGTGATTTGAATAGTTTGAAGTGCAGCTGACGCCCAGCAGCGACTCTCCCACCACCATAAAACTGCCATGCACGCATGGGAGGTTAGGAGGGCAACAGAGCGTTTTGTTATCCGACGTAGCGGGAAAGATGATTCGAAGAGTTTGAAGTGCAGCTGAGCGGTCAGCAGCGACTCACCCACCACCATGAAGCTGAGCAGCAGCAGCACACATGGGATGGGAGAGGGGGGAAAGGGAAGGGGTGGGAGAGGGGAGTGCGGGGAGCGGGGGGTGCAGCTGGGCGGCCAGCAGCGACTCCCCACCACCATGAAGCTGCCCATCAGCACACATGGGATGGGAGAGCGGGGGAGGGGAGAGGGGGAGAGGAGAGAGGGCAGAGGGGGGAGGGGAGAGGGGGAGGGGGGGAGGGGGGAGAGGGAGGTGCAGCTGAGCGCCCAGCAGCGAGTCGCCCGCCACCCCTGAGCTGAGCAGCAGCAGCACACTGTTAAGGATGGGAGGTGGAAGGCAGCGTGAAACGTTTGGTAATTCCAAACTAATGGGTAAGAACGATTGTATGGAGACTTGCAGCTCTTGATGTGATAGCTGAGGTGAGGAGATGGTGAAGGTGGTCAGGAAGGAGTAGTGGCGTGGGCCGCTTTGAAGTTGCATACAGATGGCACAACGCACCGTGCGAGGCGCGGAGGGATGAGGAGTGCTTGAGAGATTCTCATCTCGTCTGCATAGCTGAATCCGTTTTTGAGAATTCTTAAAAGAGAGAAAAATGAGATATGCTCGACTCGTCTGCATGGCGTGGCGCCACACAAGGCAACGAGCCTCTGGTTCCAATCCAACCAGCTCGGCTCACCGCGACTCACTTGCCGTTTTTTTAGGCTCGTCTCCCCTCAAAGATGCTCGCCTGCATGGCATGGCGCATTGGCGCCATCCAAGGCGATGAGATTAGCCTTTGGTATCTTCCAGCTCGGCTCACCGCGACTCACTTGCCGTTTCTTTAGGCGCCTCAAAGATGCTCGCGTGTGTGCGCCACACACACACACACGCATTGGCGCCATCCAAGGCGATGAGATGAGCCTTTGTATCTTCCTGCAGTCCCTCCCACACCCAGGGCCGCGCCTCACCTGTTGCCCCACACCCGGCATCTTACGCTTGCTTGCGCCACCTGGCCTCACCGGTGCGGTAGGTGCTGACGACAGAAAACAGTTGACGCTCGTCTGCACGCTCAGTGCGTCTCACCTGTCGTACCTCACCAGTTGTCTGTCTTGCCCCACCTGGCCTCGCCTTACCCCACCTGGCCTCGCCAGTGCGGTAAGTGCTGACGACGGCGAACAGGCTGATGCTCGTCGGGTGCACTCGGAACGCGTGGTTCTCGCCCCACGCTTCTGCCACCGCCTCGCCTCCACCCTCCGCTCCACTGCTCCCCCCTCCACTAGCGCTCCTCGCATCGTCGCCCCCTGGTCCACTGTCACCGCGGCCACTGTCTCCGGCGGGGCACGCGGGGCACTCGCACACGGGAGGCGGCGGCGGCGGAACGGCGGACGAATTCTCAGCGAGGGCCCTCCGTTGACTTCGTTGACTCTGTTGACTCGCGCCTGCCACCGCATGGTCGCTCCCAGGAAGGCTGGTGCTGACGTGGTGATGTGGGCGGCCTTCGGGCCATTCCAGGCGCAGCGAGAAGTGTACACGTGGCAGGGAAAGGCGCGAACACGTGGCGAGCACGAGGAGAACCGTCACGAGGAGAACCGGCGTGAGCGATGCGAAGACGCGGCGACGGGTGCGAGACGAGGCAGCCCGCATCGCTAGATTCAGGAACTATCCGCCCTTGAACGACGCGCGGACCTGCGAGGACCTGCGAGGACCTGCGGGGCAGCGAGGAAACTTTTCAAGGAGACGAGGCAGCCCGCATCGCTAGATTCGGGCTCACTCCCTTCAACGGCGTGAGGATCTGCTTCGGGAACGATCCGCCCTCCAACGGCGGCGCGCGGATCTGCGATGAAACGAGGGAAACTTCTCAAGGAGGCGGCACGGCGAAGTCAGAGCTGCGCCGAATCGGGCTCACGCGGCACACGTCAGAACGCGCACGCTGTCGCGGCGGCGCTGCGCGTCGGCGAAGGTCGCCGTGATTGTTCGTTGCGCGGGAGAAGCGAACGGCTGCGCTAAACTCTCGACACGGCGATTGAACGCGGGTGAGGATGAGAGAGAGTGATCGGCGCGAGTTCCGTGGGAGTGACAACGGTGGCTCGCTGTTGCGCGGGAGAAACAAGCAACCCCGCTACACCCCCTCTACACGGCGATTGCACGCGGGTGAGGTTGAGAGAGATGGGTGCGATCTCCCTGGGAGGAACGACATGGGCCGTACTGCGTGCGGCCGCTGCGCCCCTCATCCGTCGAGCACCCCAGCCTCGCGCCCCACAACGCGACGAGTCTGCAAGCGTTCAAGCGTGCGGTGCGGGAAGAGGAGCTGCTGGCAGCAGCAAGGAATACGTTCAGCTGACACTCGGTGCGGAACGGAAATGAACGGTTTGCAGAACCCAGGAGTGCAGAACGATGAAGCAGACATGTGGTAGCGGGATGGGAAGTGAACCTCCCTACCCTACCTCGGCGAAGAGCTCTTCGCTAAAACTTGTATAGTTGCGACTACGAATGTACCCAGTATATAAGTGTAATACATCAAAAAAATTCGCTAAACCTTATATCTGCTAATGAGAGTGACTCATATTACAGCTGGCTAATAATGCAAAAAAAAAAAAAAACTAAACAGGGTAATATTTGGCAAGAAAGAAGAATACTGAAAAAAATGTTTTAAAAAGAGAAATTTAACAGTGTAAAGAATGATCATATCATTATCATATTTTCCTAGTAAGGTTTCCACTTCTAACACTAACAAGAGCCGTAAGATATTGACAAGGGCTAGTGCTACCCTGCTAAGTTCGTTATGTTCACACGATGTTCTTATAGAAGAATAAAGAGTTGATGTTTTACCTGATACAGCAGGAGGTGCCATAAAAAGGACAAATTTGGACATGGTTTTTCTCAGCAAAAACATGTTGTTGCGTAGCAATGCTAGTAGTGCTAGGCAGTGCTGCTGATGCGGCCGATGATTGAGGAAAAACAATATAAAATGAATGTGAAACAGTTTGTTATTTCTTGTTATATAGTGGAAGTAGAACCAATGTTTGTTGGCCTTGATATTGATGTAAAACCAGGAGGAAGAACCAAGTTATAGCACTTACTGGAGGTAACGATCTTGTACAAGTTCTCTTGTACAAGTTCTCTTTTGGATTGACTATTGGTCTATACCAACCTCAAACCGGAAACATAAGGAGTGCTCACCTTTTTTTTTTGCTCGGTGTGCGTACGGGCTAGGCTGCAGTGACAAATAACTTTTGAATCGTCTCAGGCAGAAACTAGTTGCTTGCTCACCTCTGCTGCTTTTGTTAGGTAGGAATATGGGTTGCAGTGACAAACGGCCTGCAGAGGGATGGGACAGAGAGAAAGAGAGATAGAAAGATAGATACCGAAGGGGGAGGGAAAAGGGAGAAGAGAGCGAGGGAGGGAGAGGGAGAGGAGAGAAGAGATTTGGTGGGCGTACTGGGTGCAAGGACAAATGGAGTGCAGAAGAATGGGAGCGAGAGTAAGTGAGAGAGAAGGGACCAGAGAGAAGCGGGCGAAGGATGAAGGAGTGAAGGAGAAACAGGCACCGCCACATGCATAAGCAATGCACATGCACACGCACTCACACATGCAAAGGCACAGTCACGCCAAACAATTCCAGGAACACTCAACCAGGTACATCCAGCCTTACCCGCACCACCACACACACCGCACCGCTCAGCACCGCACTCAACCATAGTAGCAGCTCCTTGTCCCGCACACACCACTCGCCATCCTCCGTGTTTCAATGGGGGGCCGAACAAAGGCGTTGCCCCAAGCATCACACACACACCCAAGCAACACTGCACAGCTCTGCACCGCACTCAACCACAGCAGCAGCTCCTAGTCCAGCACACCCACTCGCCATCCTCAGCGCCTCAATGGGGAGTTGTCCCTGCAGGGACAACTGGACAGAGGCGCTGCCGTGCACATGACCGACTGATCACGCCCCACAACTGCCCTCTGCGCAGCACACCCAATGGGGTTTCAGTTCAAGGGGTTTGAAAAGAAGGGCGCAGGGTTAAAGGCGTTGCCGCCATCCTCAGCGCCACAATGGGGAGCCGGACAGAGGTGTTGCCGCGCACCTGATTGATCATGCCCCACAACTGCTGCTGCTGCTGCTGCTGACGTGCTGCTATGCTGCTAATGCTGCTGCCATTGCCTCCTTCCAAAATCTTCCCAACATGTGCTTCTGCTTCACTTTGGCACTCGTTGCATTGTCAACTTTCCCTGCTGCCTGCGCCGAACCATCAACAGTAGGCTCGGCAGGTATTCCCGAACCAGCAGCAACAAGCTCAGGAGGGAGACCGGAACCAGGAGCAACTGGCTCGGCGGATGACTCCCGAAGCTGATTTAGAGGCTTGGGAAGCGATGAGAGGGACGGGGGAGAGGAACCGAGAGGGCAGGTTCGGGAAGGAGGGGGCTGGTGTGACTGTAACGAGCAGGGCAAAATATCTGCAGCAGAGGCTGTGCTACCGAAATTACTGTAGGCAAGGTTACTGTAGACAAGGCTGATATCAACATGGTAACCACCAGTCAGCGTTAAAGATGCGAAGAGAGGAATTGATGTAAGCGTGGAGGAGCAGAGGCATGGGCTGCTGCTGCATGCTTTGAAACAGAGGTTGACAGTGGCAGTGCTGAGTGTGACAATAACGGATTGGACTCTGAGTGCTGGTTTGTTGATGCGGAAGTAAGATCAGCAGGAGCGGCCGGGGGAGGAGCTGCAACTGGCTCAGTGGCTGCAGATAGAATCGGCCTGTAACAAACGTAAAAACTAAAGCGAAGGGAAAAAGGAAAGAAACATGAGACGGGTTCAAGTACTGCTGTACCTTATGAATGACCACAGAGTGGACCACAGCAGCACATTTAATACGTACTGCTCAACCAGGCATTGGCGACTGCGACACGCCTCAGTGTGATATGCCTCAGTGCGATATGCCTCAGTGCGATACCGTCATCACCCGGATATAAGACAGTGTTGAATAGTAGACAGGGGTTGTCTACTATACGGGTGTCTCTTATAAACAGGCTAGCCTCATTATAAGACACCTATTTGTGTGTATGAGATAAGACATATATGTCTTATAATCGAAACTTCAATAAATTATAGCGAAAGTTGAAGTACCGCGTACTTTTTTACCCTTGCGAAGCGCGAATTCTTCCACGCGCTGACCCAGGACCTACCAAATTTGCCCCTGCAGGCGTTCTCCATAACGTGGCGTCTCGGGCAGAGGTTGTCGAAGTGGCACCTTCGCAACATCCACACGCATTATGAGAAACTCTTTTTAAAGAAGTACGGAAAATATTTCTAAGTAGTTTAAAAAGTTTCCATTTATAAGACTTATAAGACACCCTAAACCATCCCGTTTACAAGATAACTCAAGCATTTTTGCCCGTAGTACGAGATAAGACATATATGTCTTATATCCGGGCGATGACGGTATGCCTCAGTGCGATATGCCTCAGTGCGATATGCCTCAGTGCAACAGACCCCAGTGCGACAGGCCTCAGTGCAGCGACAGTTGCATCGCCATGCCAAAGTTCTTCCACTGAGCAGCACAAATTAACGACGGTAGAGTTGATGACTGAGCAATTGTTATATCGTCACCCGGCAACCCTAGGTCGCCGCGCTTCTGTGCGACGTCGCACTATGACGAGGAGCACTTTAGAGATTATGAAGTGAGTAGATTCGCGCGTTCTTTGGTTGATCAGTCTGACCACACATAGCCGCAGTACGAAATACACATCTGTAGGCTGACGCTCTTTGCGAATTGTAGTGCAAAACAATAGTCTTATGTATCACAGATCCTGATTACAGTTTCCTCAGCAAACACATAAACACGGCACAAACGGGCTCAGCAGGATTCGAACCTGCGCGGGCAGAGCCCAACAGATTTCTAGTCTGTCCCGATAACCACTCCGGCATGAGCACATGTTTCCATGGAAACTAAGCACCACCTGGGCAAGAGATTCCGACCCTTCTTCTAAACCTTGTGGAACACAGCAGCCCTGCCTAACCTCGCCTCACCTGCTCGTGCTTCAAGATGAAATCTGACTGCACGCAACGGGCTTGCTAGTAGTGACAAGCTGGTGAACCATCATCAGCCCACGTCCCTCTCACCACCTACCTCCTCTCCTCTGCTCGTCCGTGAGGAAGGAAAATGACCGCAGAGGCACCCAGCAGCCCCGCCTAGCCTTGCCTCACCCGTAATCTGCTCACGACCCACCATTGACTCACAAGTATCGAACAGCCCAGCTTGCTCGCATCCCCTCACTCCCTTCGAACGTTACCTCCTCCTTCCTCTGCTCGTCACTCCTCAAACACCGCCACGGGGTACCCAGCAGCCGGCCTCGCCCATCTTCGCCTGCAGCCTCTCATGCACCTCCGCCACGTCAGCAGCCTCCACCGTGGCGGAGGTGCGTGAGAGGGGGAGAACAGTGCGGCCACGGCATAGGGATGGGAGTCAATGGCGCAAAAGTAGGTGTAGGAGAAGCAGGTGCGGGGTCAGTGCTGGTGGGTGGGGTGTGGGGGGTGGGGAAGGGGAGAGGAAAGGACGAAAAGGGCAAACGGCACAGATGGGAAGACAATGACATTGAGAGATGGGGAAAAGGGCTATGAGAGAGATGTTGAAGAGAATATCGTA